TATTTTCTTTGTAAAAAAAAAAAAATTTTTTATGAAACTTCTATAATTGTCATTATTTGACTTCATAAAGATTTTCATTACAAGAATGAAATGATTTACATTTTTTTAATTAGTACTAAGTAATTTACAATTTACACATTACAGCATTACAAGCATTACATAAAAACAAGCGCGCATTTACTCAAACTAAATTGCGAGCCATTTTTCGACTTTTTTTTATTACTTATTAAAAAAGCATTGGTTTGAACACAAAAAAAAATTCGAATACGTACAAGATTTTTTTTATGTTATACTAAAAATAATATTAATTAGCATTTAAGTGTTTTGATAGGCTTTTTTTTTAAAATTATATGTGCGTTAATAACAGAAAAACACGGATATCTTTGAATGTCACCTAACATAATAAGCATATTACCTGTAAAAAGGTATACACACCTGATAAAGTTGACTTTTTTGTACATTCCGTATTTACACCTGACAAACCTTATCTAAATTTATAAATATCTGTACTGGTATCAACAGGATATTCCTCGTCCCTGGAGGTTAGTTAATATTTCTCTTTTGTGTTTAAACAAAAAAAAAAAAAAATCGAGGCTATATCAATTTTTGATATATATATATATATATATTATATATATATCTGTCAAAGTTTATGATATGCTTGTTAAGTTTTCATATTAACTGTTAGGTTATTATGCAAAAAATTATTATCGTCAAAATTATTCGCGAACCAGACGCCATAAAATTTCAAAAGTCTCGGTGAAAATAGCCTTCTTTAATGCACTTATTAACTTGAAAAAATTAATATAGTATAATAATTTTTTTTGACAATGGACAATAATATTGAACCTGAGAATGAAGAAAACACGGGGGAAACAAATAATAGTTATATAAACATTAATAATAATCTAGGTGATTCTAACCGCAGAATTACCGAAGAACCTAATATCAACGAACCTCTCGAAACAACTCTCAGTACAACAAGTATTCCACAAAACATGACAGAAGCCTCTGAAATACCTTTATATAATAATGACACCGCGTCACGTATTACCTCCAATATATTCCCTATAACGTATACTTCTGATACTGATATTAATAAATATCAAGAATCAATATCGCGTTCTCAATTAAGTGGCAGTGAATTTTTTAGAGATGCTATTAGGTAATACCTTTTTTTTTGATTCGAAATTGGAATGCAATTGTTACTAGGAAGGTGCCCGTTAATTACAAATCTTGTAGAGAAATTGTCAATAATTGCAATTGATAGATCAAATGCCCGGGAAAGCAATGTAAAAGCAATGTAAAAGCAATGTATAACAATGTATAGCAAAGGATTTTTGAACTTGGGGCTTCGAGCAACTTTGACTGCACAAATTCAAAATAGTTGATCAAAAATTATAAATGATGAATAAATTATAGATAAATTATGACTAAACATATATAGTAATAATAATAATAATATCGATATATTTAGCGTTAAGAGACATTCGGAAAATAATATTTTCATGTGATATATTTATTATATCTTGATATCAGCCTCGAACGCGTCAGTCTTTAAAAATTCTAAAACGTTATACATTTTTTTTTTTTTCATTTATTT